GAGATAGAGAGAACTGCTTTGTAGAATCAGATAACACTGGAAGGACAGGTGTTTGGTTGACTTAACGTGAGAGCAAGAGATGTTGTGTATGTGTGATTGATGTGAGTAATGTATTCGTGTGAGGGTCAAGCACTTCTTTTTCCTCTTATAACTCTCACTGTGTCCACCGCCATCAAGGTTGGTTTACTCTTCGCACTCTCATGTAAAAAGGCTCACTCCTATACCAAGCATGGCACGTCACTGTTGCCTTCGCAGCACAGCAGCAAATAGTGCCATGGTTATGCTCATCTTTGGTCTAGGTGGCCTGTACTTAGCAGATTATTTGTGAAATAATTGCAGAGATCCTGACCTGTCCTGACTGCTCTTGTATTACTGGGTTTCATTGGGTTCATCCTTAATGGATGTTTAGCTCTGCTGTTAGTATGTCTATGGGGATTCTCAGTTATCCAAGTCACTGTATTCTATCTTGTATATTTTATTAGACATGTATTTTTCCCTCATTTGTTTGAATAAATACATCATGACTATTATTTAAAGTGAGCTCTTGTAGGTATTGCAGCCTTACTAAAATCTTGTCAATAGTTCATTGCTAGTTGATGTAACAAATTTAATTCAGCCCATTCTGGTATGAAACACCCATGTTTTTCATGGTCCTGTTAATTCCCAGTGAATAAAATCAAGTCTTGCCCTCCTTATGAATTTAAAGCGTTTTGTATTACTGGAATCTTATTCACCCATCTGAGGTCGGTTATGTTCTGATATTGTAACTGCTATTAAATGTCAACTTTGTGTAAAAAGGTGAAACTGGTTCGTTAACCTTTTAATTTTGACATTATTTCTGATGAGACTAATGTCTGTATCTTACCCATTATTCATTTCTCTTCCTGCTCTTTTTTCCCCCTACAGAGGTCAAGAGCCCCACATCCGATATGAACACATTTACCTACAGGATCCCAGCAGCCAATCAGAAGTGGTGTACTCCGAGATGAAGCGCCCTCGCTTGGAAATCGGGGCGGATTCTCTTATTCGTCACTCAACCCATCGTCAGTCCCTTAATGTGTGTGGAGCTGAGGAAATGGTTTGCAATAATTTTTTTTCTTCTTCCCCAGCATCAGCATAGATGTTAATACCCAGATGTAGGGGTGGGTGATCTGATGATTTTATATTGTGATTGATCTTGAAGACATCTACAATCTACTTTTCAAATGAATTGTAGAGATCGTGATCTTTTATGTCTTTGCAAAAATGTTAAAACTACAGCAATGAATCTCTACTAGGTGATTGTGACTTAAAATTGTGACGATACCAGCATTTCCCGCTAGCAGTTTGAGTGCATTTTGAGCGGATTCTTGAACACCTCTGATTGGTCATTGTGTTCAAGCACTCAACAGATATGTCTGTGATTGGCTACAATGATCATCGCTTCATGCTCTTCACTGAGTGCTTACACAAATACACACGGGAGTGTTTGAAAGCTGCGTCTATCAGCGGATCCGTCAGCGAATCCCTAATATATCTGCTCATAGACGGATCCATAGTAGGGATGTGCGGGTCTAGTCGACTGAACGGTACAGCTCCTACTAGTCGACACTGAAAACAATAGTTGATTACACGACAGAAAAAGAAAAAGAAAACCATGATTTTATAATTCAAATTACCATCATTTTAACATTGCATTTAAAACATTTTAAATAACAAGTTAAAATAAAACGTTTGAAAAATAATACATTATTTTTAAAAGTTTAGCTGGGCGGAAACTAAATTTTTTCCTCAGACCTCACATGTGTTTTCTTCGTGTCAGTTGCGGCCAGTTCAAAAATGACCATGCGAAAGACGAGCAAGGTGTGGGATTATTTTGAATTAGAAGGAAACGGAAACATTTTGTGTAAACTGTGTAATGTCAAATTGTCTTACAATAACTCTACTGGAGTGATGCGTAATCATATTCAATACACGCACGTAGGTGTTAGCTTAGAGTCAATCACGTCATTCACTACAACCTGCCGGCACTGTGATCCCATCCGCGCCGTCTATTCCTCTAACGAAGACCCACTTCGGTGGTGGTGCTGGATGTCCAGGCGCTTTCTGAAACTCTATCGGCTTGCTTTTCGTTATCTCTGCGTGCCTGCGACTTCAGTTCCTGCCGAGCGCATTTTAAGCGCCGTTTTAATGCTATTTCTTGATAAACCTTCCTATTGTTTTTGACTTGTTTTAATATGTTGGCTAATGTTATATGAAGATTAAGAATTCTGTCAGGCTATTGATTGATTTTCCATTGTTCTGCATTTCCCCAGCTGATTTGAATAAATAAGCTATGCTTTGGCCGACGTTGAGTGTATGCTCTTCTTTTTTTTTCTTTTTAACGACCGCCTAAAATGAAATGATGATAACGCGAGGCAAGTGTGCGGCAAGCGGAATTCATTGAGGGATTTGACAGTGTGATTCATAGATTAAGTATTTCAAATATAGGCTATTATATATGCTACACGCACGCACAGAGTTTTTTTCTTTTCTTACCATCTTTTGGGGGTTTCTTGCTTTTAGACTAGTCGACTAGTCGGATACAAAACTTTAGTTTAAACGACAGTCAAATTAGTCGTCGCGCACATCCCTAATCCATAGATAGATGAGAGCTTTAACTGACTCTGAATCCTCAGGCTTGTGCATTGTGATTATCGTGGGATCAGGCTAGAAAGGATGCTGCGTGCTGTACGTGGATTAATCCGACTGTAGAGAAGAGCGATAATAAGTCTGTTCAGCAGATTAGCACTTAGTCCATATTTACTGGCCTCGTAAATCAGCCTGTCTGTTTCCTTTGGCCTGCGTTTTTATCATTCCGGCCAGCACTGCCATTTACCACCACACAGGCCTGCTGGGAACCGGCATGTGTGTGTGGATACTGTTTGGATTTTGAGATTCTAAAAGATTGCATCTTAAAGAGTTATGTCAGTAATACCAGAACCTCTGACATTGTAACTGTGGTTTTCTTTGTTGGGTTGTGAGGGAATTAATGTGTATGTGGTGTAACGGTAAACGACACAGGCAGATGTTTGGAATAACTCTGCAACCTCTTAGGAACTCTCTTTTCTAGGTCAGGGGCTCTGTGAAGGATGTGTGTGTATAGGTGGAATATATGCAGCCTCTCTATAACAACATACTGCTGCCTCACACCATGTGAGATCCATTTCTGGTGCTTTACAACTATAAGTGTCACCAGGCTGTATCAGGTTTTGCCAAGTGTGCATCACATAGCCAATACTAAGAGTGTTTATTGACTGCTTGAGAGACTCGCGCACTTCACTTCCTCACAGGAACAACGAGACCAGTAGATGAGTCTAACTGTGCGGGAAGAGTCACAGTGTTGCTGGCAAAAGCATTTGCATTATAATCTTGGCTATGGGAACAGTCTCATCTTGTGGACAGAACAGCCCTGACAGGAGATCACTTGAATTGTGAAACATTGATAGGATGACATTGTGAAAATTTCTATTGTGAAACTCTGTGCTTAATTGACCACTGCAGCAGTTCAGCCCTGGAAGTGAAAATCACATTAAAATCTCCAAAGAGAAATTGATTCTTAGCAGTATAACTGTTACATCCCAGTGGTTGTGCCTCCGTTTTTTTGCTTTCTCCTTCTCTCTGCTCTGTTGTATTCTTTGGTTCAACCCTCCTCGGACTGCTATTGGTTCAGGAAGCCGTCTGTCATCGTTAACGTGGGTGACGTCATTATCTCTGCTGCCAATCCTGTTTCCTGCCAGAGTTTAAAAGGATGACTGAATGAACGCGGAGCAGACTTTGCTTTTCTGTTTGTGCATTTGCATTTTGTTTGTTTCTTTTTGTGGTGTTGTTCTTCTGTTACAGTTTTGAGTTGTCCTCTTGATCTTTTCTTTAAGTTTTCTATTTTGTATTTCATTGTTTACTGCCTTCGTAACATACACAGGACAACGTTCTCCTTGCCCCTGGGGAAAACTGGACCAGGTAGTATGTCACGTGACATACATGTAGCAACATGTAGTGACTCTGATGTATTAGAAACACTAGTATAGAAGTGAGCGCCACTTTTTGTACTTTTTGCTTTGGTGAGTTTAGAGCAGGTTAGTTAGGGCGTGAAAACGCCGAAGACTTGTTTTTTTCCCTGTTTTCTTTTCTTTTGTTAGTAGGTTAGATTTGGCAACTTAAGTTAGATTGGTTTTGTTTTTTTTCTGTTCTTTTCTTTGGTGCCGCTTGCGTCCGTTTTTCCCTTGTGGGGGTTATTTCATTTTTGGGTTGTAAATATTGTGAAATTATAGTTTTCTCTTTATTTGTTATCTTGGTATTTGTTTATTATTATTATTATTATTATTATTGTTACTTGATGTTTTCCCTTTTTCTTCTTTTAAACTTGTAAATAAATCACCTTCTTTGGCAGTTTTCGTGTTGCACTCCTCTTTTTGCCACCACCAATGCCACAACCATCACAACTACAAATGTTACCCCTTTTAAACCTAGACTTAAAAACAAGAGGTCGTAACAATAACCTATCATGAAGTTCGAGGGTCTTAATTGATAAAATGCATTTGTAGAAGATCAAATGATAAAGATCAACAAAATGAAAACTTTTTTTGTTCAACTTTTAAAAACAATCTGTTTAGAAAACCCATGTATAAAACCCAATTATAAAATAAAAAAATGAGGTCCCTGTTTGAGTAATTTTTAATGTAATTATTTGTTACTGAATTGACTAAATAACATGCTTAACATTTGAAACAACCCTTCTGGGATTTCTGGGATTTAATTGGAGTTTTAAAGTGTTTATTTACATTCTTTTCAGGAGTTCTAATTCTTCTATAGTTTTGCCTTTGGAAAAGTCTTAAGCAAAGAGAGAAAATTCTTATTAAATGTTGTTGGGAATGCAAAGTATTCTTAACTTCATTCTTAAGTTAAGGAAATAGCTGTTAAGAATTTCATTTTGTAAATCCAGACCCTGGGAATGGGGAAAGTACTTATTTGTAGAGCCCGACTGATATGGGTTTTTTGGGGACCGATACCGATATTAGGGAGTAAAAAAAAATATATCGGACGATATTCTTTGTGTATATTATAATACAGTACCAGTCAAAAGTTTGGACACTTTCCCATTTGTGTGTCCAAACTTTTGACTGGTACTATATATAGAATACAGTATATACATAAACAGAATATATATACATAAACACATTTTTTGCAATGATCACTCAAATGTGGTGATCAAACACTTATAATGACGTGACAGAGATACGTAATGGAGGCAGGGCATTTAACAATTTAACAATAAACTTTACTATCCAAAATGAGTCTGACATCAGTGCACTGAACAGTAAAATTGAAGTTTATTCAACTTTATTTCAATTAAATCCCATTCAACTTTATTCTGTTGAAGTTTAATTCACTTTGGAACATTCATTCACGGATTTGCGCTACTGTCTTCACACACAGACGAAACTTACTAGAGAAGTGTGAAGTGTGACATAATATACCTTTGTAAATAAATACAATTTAAATTCACGTCTCGCGCACTGCCCTTTGAATGTGACGTGTACGTTCCCTTGGAACTGGAATCATGGCGGAAATTTCATGTGAAGTCCACTTCGCAGGGCACTTACAATCGAATAAGACAACGCTTGAATGCTGCTGCCTGAACAAGAGACCTCCTTACTGAAGTGAAAGTGTTGGCTGGTGTCACTATCTCGCGAACGCAGCGGCGGATCTCCACCAAATTCGGGGGATCCCTTCAGCTCGAGGAGCCCTCTCGAACACCACCCTCCGCGCGTCGATAGCCCCCTGGGATCGCCAGATCGGTCGGCGCCCGTCCGCGAATTTAACCGCCCGTAACTCCCAGACCCCAGGGGCTATCGACATGTGGTCTCATTCGAAAGGGGGCCTCGAGACGTACACTCGATTCGGCGTTCGAGAGGGTTCCTCGAGCTGAAGGGATCCCCCGAATTTGGTGCAGATCTGCCGCACCGTTACGGAGATATGGCCGTTCAAAGTTTCAATGGTATTCCATACACTTAAGCTTTACAGCGTTTCATCCAGGTCGCCAGTAGCAAACAATGGAGCGCACTCTGTCTCTGCTGGACAAACTACATAATTACACCATTTACAAGCATTTTATCTGCGTTTAATGTAGGGCAGCATTTACTGTGAACAGAGCCGCTGTGAGACGCACGTACGTAACCTACACGCCTATAACTGCATCACGTATAATTATTTAATTAAATCGTATCGTTTGTGAATTCACAGTTATGCTTAATTATAATTTTTAAGCGGGTTTAATATATCACGAGGCCTTGGAAAACAGTCTAATAATATGTTTTATGGATTCTCGTCCATGAAATGCACCACTTCAGGTATTTTGCCGGTTAGTCGACGCAGGCAAAATGAAGTCGAGGATTTTTAAAAATAGAATAGTCGAATAGAATCGACGAATCGCGGCAGCCCTAGTTTAATGTTCTGTAAAAAAAATTCATATTGGTGGCATATTGGCGGCATATTCGCCGATACGATATATCTGCGACAGGCTCATATCGGCCAATAAAATCGCCAAAACGATATATCGGTCGGGCTCTTCTTATTAGTACTAAAAAAACTAAGAACTGCTTCTTTCACTAGATATTTCACTAGAATTTGCTATGTAAGCAGATCTTTTAGATTTATTTATCAGGTATTTAAATGTGCAGCATAAATATACTGGGGTTATTGTTCAAGTCGTGAAAGGATTAAATAAGGTGTTTTTTAAAAGGAAAATGTTTGTGTTTGTGTTAAAGTGTGTTAAGGACAGCTGAGTTACACCCCTGTGTGCATCTCTGAGTTTGTGTGTGTGCAGCAGGATTAAGGTCACTGTGATCACACCTCCTGCTTGTGGCATGATGTACAGGGCAGAATGATTACACCCTTAGAGCAAGCCTGCGTGTGTTGTACGCTAAGGTTAGTGTGATCACACTCCCGATCCAGAGATGTTGTGCTGAGTTGTTATGACTCCCCCTAAAGCTTTTGTGTATTTTTAGCAGCCATGACAATATAGGGCTTAGAGGCAGAACTGTGTGTTAGTGGAAGCATTATGCAGCAGTAATTAATTAGTAATGGAGCTGACCTAGATGAGACCGTTGAGCTGTTGAAGATATTTACATTAGGATTTGAGCATGTTCGGGTGAGAGACAGAGAGCGGGACTTTTGAAAGCACACTCAAGTCAAAGTGGACACAGGAAATCTCTCATCCTTTTTATGTAAGAGCGGTCACACTCAATGACACTCATGAAACTGAGCGAGTGGAACTGGAAGCTCAGGGAGGAGAAGAGTCTCTCTCTCTCACACACACACACACACACACACACACACACACACACACAC